GATTGCATTTTCAATTTCAGAAGGTGTTATTTTCCTTCTGATGCCAACTGATCTGAATCACAGATGGTAATTCCAAATAATAATAAAAAACCTCATTACTTTCAATTTTGTTTTCCTCAGAGCTGCAACTATAAAACCAACTGCAGAGGATCATTTCAGTTGGTAACACAATAACCTGCCAGCTCGTTCATAACGCCTTTTCACTTGTCAAGGAGTCATATTCTACTTGCAGCAGTGGCGTAGCGGACGGGCCAGCAGGGGGCGTGATTAGGGGGGGCCCCTCGTCGTCGTGATTTTCAATAATTAAAAATCCACCGACGAACGCAATAATCAAACTCTTGGGAACAACTGTGGTCGGAACCAAAGTTCACACGTCTGTGTTCTCTGAACACCTCTCAAGCGGTGGACTACTTAATTCTGATTGCTTGCCGCCAATGTTGCCAACTTAGCGACTTTGTCACTAGATTTAGCGACTTTTCAGACCCCCTTAGCGACAAATCTAGCGACTTTTTTTGTGTTATTGGAGATTTTTTTTAGACTGTCATTTGTCCATACTGTACCGTCCCTACTCTTCTCAACGAGCTGCGTGTGATGCCGCCGGCCCCTCCCCCGCCTCACAGCACTGACAGGCGGCCCAGTCAGTCCTCTACAGCAGCCTCTCCCACCTGCAGCCCGAGAGCAGATCACCCCTCTGCGTACCGACGACAAATGATTTAGCACAGGCAGTGTGAAGGTATTTCCCTTGTACAGTCAAACCGATCTACTTCTACTTTATTTTAACAATTTAATTGGACCGTTTATTCTTTTCTTGTTCACAATCACAGACATCAGTGACAGTTTCTGAACTTGTCTGAGTTATCAGACAAATAAATATTACATATGAGAGATTACTGCACATTCACTACATATCTATAATGACATACTGTATTCAAACAGCAATAAATTTAGTTAAATAAACATGCTTATATAAAGTGTAGTGCAATTATAAATGCCCCTTTATTAACCATTGGCTGTTAAACAAACAGAAACGGTAGAACGTGATGAAGCTAGTGATATGCAAATTGACGTATGAAGTATCCACCCCCCCCCCCCCCCCCCCCCCCCTTCATCAGGGGGCCCCGTCAGCGATCCCTGCAGGGGGACCTCTGCATTTTGCGCTACGCCACTGACTTGCAGAAGAAGTTTTTTTTCTTTATGGAGCTATTCAGAAGGTGATGTTGAGTGTAGCTGATCCATTGTATTTTATTCATAATCTCTGTAAGCCGTTTTGACATTGTTTTATTTGCACTACGTTGATCTGAAATAATCTGTCCTCTTATATATGCTTTCAGAGTATCCAATAGGATGCTTTAACTTATCTCTGGGGATTCGTTTGTCTCAAAGTAGAAATCTATTTGAGCATCAATAAATTTTACAAAATCGTCATCTGCCAATAGTATTGAATTTAACCGTCATGTACATTGGGCAATTACATTGCCTGGAAAACAGTTTTAGTGAGACTGGACAATGGTCCAAAATAACAATACCACCATACTCTACTTCTGACATTAAAGGGTCACAAAACACCAAAACACATTTTTTGAGTTGTTTACAGTCGTATATGTGTCCCACACTGCTAAAAACACTATTAGGAAACACATATTTCACCAAAAAGTGAAAATTGGTTGTTTTTGCGTTATTTTGAGCAAATTCGTACTTCCGGTTTAAAATGAATTTTTGAAGCTGCCTCACGGCCATGAGATCTTAGCGTGTATTCCAGCATGTAGACTGAACATCTACCTGGGAGTACCTTATGACGTCTCTGAGTGTGCTGCATTCATTCATGAGTAAGACTTGGTTGAAACCAATCAACGCGCTCTATTGTGTATGCGGTGCAACCTCATTAATGTGCATGATATCTTTGAAGACTGTTTGTACCTGTACAGTGTTCAGACGGCAGAGAGACGCCACGCTGTGTTGCCAAGTGGGAGAACAAGAAATATTTGGTCGTCAGTGTTGCCTTTTATAATTTGCTGCAGTGAAGGTTTTGTTTTTATTTTCCCTCTATGATAGCGTAGCTGGACTCACGTGTGGATTATGCTGCACGCGACACGTGACAGAAATGTGTGTCTAAGGAACATTTTTTACCCGAGAGCTTTTCTCGTCTGAAAATGGTGAAATCCAGATTTGCTGCTCGTCTCCTTTAATAAAAGACAGAGCTCCAGTATGTGTTGATTGTCCTGTCTCTACAGATTTGTTAAGTGAGCGACCAGTGGTTTTTGTTTGTTTATTCAGAGGCAAAGTTAGTTCGTCAGCAGTACTCTTTCAGTGTTTAGAGACAGACCTTAGTCAAATGGTTTCTAAGTTAATAAAGTTTACAGTACGATAATATATATACAATATTATGGACTGAAAAATCCACTGTAAATGCTGCTCTCCGAGTGTAAACATGTTAGCACCACAATCAAACTTACACCCGCATTTTGTGACAGGAATAACATACATGGCTTTCTGACGCTACCTACCAAGTGCATCTAAGTTACAGAGAAATGTGAAGGATTTTTTTTTGCAACAAACATTGCATGAAAGATACACGCTTCCAGCAATTCCTCGAATCAAATATCTCGTTTGTCACCGGGCACGAATGAAATTCCTGAATGAAAGAGCCAAACTGCAATTAAAATCTACCATTTAATAATTTGCCAAATAATTTGATTACTGATGTCCATGTAAACACAGTCACTGACTTTCTCCTCTGCATCTGTGTGTTTGTTTTGCCTCTGTGAAAATCAGCACGTGCCCAAAACTGACACTCCCTTTTTTATGCTAATTTTTACTGACCTTACCCTACTCTAACACTTCGCCTACACACACAGGCTATCCTGATTAGCTATGAGTTTTGATTGATTTATTTAGGTGTATTTATGTGAGAGTGAAGTCTGACAACAATAAATATTCTCATCAGGAATAAAACCACCTGTTTTTATACCCGTGCTGACTCTGCCGAGCTGTAGCTATAAAGTTAGGTCTGCTACTGTTATTTTATACTGGGAAGGCTACATCATTTATTTTATTATAACAATTTGCTAATAGTTCCTATACAATGTTTTTATGGGTTGCTGAGAATACATTTCAGGTGTTCAATACATTGCATGTCAGTTTCGAAAATAAAAGTAGATGCTGGAAAAAGTGCCTAAAAGTCTTTGATTTTCATTAGTCTGTGTCTGTATGAACCCTGTATGAAATCAGTGTAAAATGTTTAATCTTGAGGTGATGGTAAATTTAGTGATGTTCAATCGTCAGCTCCCTTTGTCGTCAGGTTGTGTGATGTATGTTGCTGAACTGTATTCAAATGTTATAAATATAAAAAAAAAAAACACATTTCGAAATATAACTGCAGTATGTCAATTTAGTTTATTTGTGTGTGCTGTGCTCATAGACTTTAGAAAGCGCTCATTTGTTTGATTTCTCTTCGAGAAGCTAAGCAAGTCTCAAAAATGTAAGGTCCTTGTACCCTCTCTGAGTCACTGGGGCCCTAGCTGCAATAAACTGGCTTTGGGAGGGCCCAGCTTGCAAAAGGTTGAGAACCCCTGCTTTATGCAGATGCTGACAGGCATGTCTCATGTCTGCAAGGCAAAAATTCAGCTGTTTGTTCAGCTGTTACGCAATAACTTTTTTTTCTGGTGTGTTTACCAGTCAGGCACAGAATATACAAGTATTCCCTGTCTGCTTTACACATTTTAGAAAAACATTTTGTTGTAATTGTGAATATATAGGAATAAAAATAGGCCATTTACAGCTTTCAAATCTGTCTGATCAATATGACCAAAATGACTTTTATGATCAATTATGTAAGAAACTCTGAAAACTGGACTGACAGTTTAAATTTACTTTAACTTCTATGTTAAGTGGCTTTAACACAATTTACATTGCAAAAGCACTAGATAAATAAGGATGACTTAAAGGGCACCTATGGTAAAAAATCTACTTTTCAAGCTGTTTGGACAGATCTGTGTGTTGGTATAGTGTATCGACCGTCATACTGGGGTGATATGAACACACCCAGTCCTTTTTTTTCAATTTAACTACAAAAAAAGGGTCTGCCAATTAGAGCTGTTTTCAAATCGATCGCACCATTACGTAGGTGTGCGATCCCCCCGCCCACCGAATTGATTGACAGCTGCGCGCATTAACATGTTCCGGTAGTCGCGTGTACGTGTCAACAAGACCAGACAGACATACGCAAAGCAACCGGGAATAAAAGGTCTGTTCTGTTTGCTAGGATCAGCAATCATCATCAAATGTGATTAAGAGTGAGTTTCACATGTTTAAAGTGTTTTAAAACAGAATATGTGTGTAATTAATTACAGCGTTTTACTTCAGCTTTACTTCATCAGCACAGCCGCGTGTCAGAACAATTATAAAAGAAGACGCTTCAATCCCGGTTTGTGGAAGTTAAATCAGGTTTATTTTGTACATTAGCATAACAGATATCCACACAGTACTTGAGGTTAGCCTTAACTAAGCTAAGCGCGCTCTGTGTGTCTGCCTGCCTGCCTGCGTGTGTATCTGTGTGTGTGTGTGTGTGTGTGTGTGTGCGCGTTAACTTTGTAATGATATTGTATGTGTGTGACTCATCAATGCAACTTCACAATACTGATTAGTAAAAGTTAGTTCTTACTGTAGTATCTCACAAACGCAACGTGAGACCTTCTTCCTTTAAGACTGTCTGTTGTCTGACGCAGCTGAGGGAGGAGGCATGTAGAAACAGTGGGCGGGCAGAACTCGGCTTAAAGGCGCAGTACGACAAAACCACCCCCTGCTGGAAATCAGTATAAAACAGCATCTTGTAAAAGGTATAATGAAAAATCTGATGGGTATTTTGATCTGAAACTTTATATACACATTCTAGAGACGCAAAAGACTTATATTAAATCTGAAAAAAGGGGTAACCTAGGTGCCCTTTAAGACTTAATGAAAAGACTTAATGAAAACTAATGTTTTATTTTTTTTTATTTCAGACCTAACTGAAGAAAACGAGGGGAGTAAACAGGAGGAACATCATGTCAAAATTGAGGAAAAAACTTTTTTACAGACTGATGGTATTTTAAAAAGGAGAGACAAGAATCGTTTCACCTGCACTCAGTGTGGAAAGAGTTTTGGAAGAAAATACATTCTTAAGATTCACATGAGGATCCACACTGGAGAGAAACCATTCACATGCACCCAGTGTGGGAAGAGTTTCAGCTTATCGTGGTCCCGTAATCTACACAAGAGGATCCACACTGGAGAGAAACTATTCACATGCACTCAGTGTGGGAAGAGTTTCACCTGCTCATCATCCCTTAATCAACACATGAGGATCCACACTGGAGAGAAACCATTCACATGCACCCAGTGTGGGAAGAGTTTCAGCTTATCGTGGTCCCGTAATCTACACATGAGGATCCACACTGGAGAGAAACCATACACATGCACTCAGTGTGGGAAGAGTTTCAGCAGCTCATCACACTTTAATTACCACATGAGGATCCACGCTGGAGAGAAACTATTCACATGCACTCAGTGTGGGAAGAGTTTCAGCTGCTCATCATCCCTTAATCAACACATGAGGATCCACACTGGAGAGAAACCATTCACATGCCTTCAGTGTGGGAAGAGTTTCAGCAAATCATCAAACTTTATTCTACACATGATGATCCACACTGGAGAGAAACCTTTTAAATGCACTCAGTGTGGGAAGAGTTTCAGCCAATCATCACACCTTAAACACCACACGAGAATCCACTCTGGAGAGAAACCATTTACATGCACTCAGTGTTGGAAGAGTTTCAGCCGCTCATCATACCTTAATCAACACATGAGGATCCACACTGGAGAGAAACCATTCACATGCACTCAGTGTGGGAAGAGTTTCAGCCAATCATCACACCTTAATCACCACATGAGGATCCACACTGGAGAGAAACCATTCACATGCACTCAGTGTGGGAAGAGTTTCAGCCGCTCATCATACCTTAATCAACACATGAGGATCCACACTGGAAAGAAACCATTCACATGCACTTAAGCCGTGGTCACACTGGACTTTTCTACCCATACACTTCCTTGCGTGTATTCCAGCATGTAGACTGTCTGTCTGTACCTGGGAGTATTTCATGACGTCTCTGAGTGTACTGCATTCATTCATGAGAAAGACTTTGTTCAAACCAATCAGTGCGCTCTATTGTGTATTCGGGGCAACTTCATTAATATGTATGATAGCTTTAAAGACTGTTTTACCTCAAACAGTGTTCAGACGGCAGAGAGACGACTAGTTGGGTTGCCAAAACAAGTGGGAGAAGAGGAATTGTTTAAAGTCAGTACGTTAAAATCACTACAATATTATGGACTGAAGGATCTGCTGTAAATGCTGCTCTCTGAGTGTAAACATGTAAACGCGTTTTTTGACAGGATAGTCTACACACGCACATGGCTTTCTGACTTACTGAGTGCATCTCAGTTACCGAGAAATGCAGTTTTTTTTCTCTTATACAATGTGCGGTATCAAACATTCCACTGTCATTAAACAGTCAGTTACTGATGTCCATGTAAACCAGGGGTCTCAAACTCAATTTACCTGGGGGCCGCAGGAGGCAAAGTCTGGGTGAGGCTGGGCCGCATAAGGGATTTCACAAAAAAAGTCCTCAAATGTCATTATTAACAGTTTTAATTATTTCTTCTGAACATGAAATGTCCTGAACATTAATAGAACATTGAGTGAAGATTATGAACAGTTCTTCTGAACATGGCATTTAAAAACACCCCCACCCCACTCCAGTCACATCAGTCTGTACCAGTCTGTATCTACCTATAATACATATGCAGGCTGTAGCTAGGTAGCTAAGTGGCAGGCAGGGGCGGGAACAGCTTACCTTGGTTCTGGCCGGCGCGAGTTCCTTCCTAAACACTTCCCGCCCGTCACAGCGTCTAACAAAGGGGCGGGGTGCGTGGTGACGTCACCGGCATCCCTGCCCCTTTGTTTACACGGCGGGCGGGGAATGCCAGTGACCGCTGTGTACGGATAGAATTAGCGGAGCGGAGAGCGCTCTCTCTCCCCGCTCCGTTGATTCTGTCAGTGTACAGCGGTCGGCGCGGGCCACAAAATATTGCACTGAGGGCCGCAAATGGCCCGCGGGCCGCGAGTTTGAGACCCCTGATGTAAACAGTCACTGTCTTTCTCCCCTGCGTCTGTGTGTTTGTTGTGCCTCTGTGAAAATTTTGTAGAAATGTGTTGCGCTCCTTGCGTTTACTGTAAACACAATGATGGCAACTGAGAGAAGAACAGTTTCATAAACATCTGGCAAACAGCATCTCTGCTGCTTAAAATCTCTTTGCAAGTGATTGTACAGATGCGGATATATCTGTACTCTACTCTTCAGTGTATTCATGTAGCTAGTGTTGTTTTCGATGATGTTCTTTGTCTGACTCCCTGAATGAGAAACAAATCATCTATTTATTAGTAAAGTTTCTTTACTTTTAGATTCAAGATTCTTTCTAGTTTACTACATTTACTGTTTTGAGTAGAATACAAACTTGATAAATATTTGATGATTTTGGCAGAGCGACAAGTATTTAGTTTTACAATATTAATACACTGTGATAATCCCAAGACTCCAGATTGGAATATGTGGTAAATCTTGATTGGATGCCTGCATTACTCATCAATGGGTATATAAAAGTTGTTGTGCTAGCTACCCCTGGACGCTGTGGCTACTCAGGAGTCCACATGTCAAGACCTGCCATCTCATTGACTCTTTAACTTTATGGTTTTGTTTTGCATTACTTATATTATGTAGTTAAAGTGTTGTTGTGATTATATCCTAAGTTCTTTATCTTCATTATTATGCCTAGACATTTGTTGGTTGCTTTGATTGATTGTTCTGAGTTACATTTTATAATAAATCATTTGCATTCAGGCTATTTTGTTGTCTCATCTCACTTTTATGGTGCAACTCAAACAAGCAGGTCATAACATTTTGCAAAATGTGTCCGGTTGTTACCGAGATCTTGTCCTTTCAGTCATGACCATAGATGTGAGTAGGAACCTAGATTGAGTGGTAAATTTAGAACATTGCCTTTCATCTCAGCTACTTCACCACAACAGACAATCACATCAAATGCATTACTGCTACTCCTCCACTGATCCATCTTTTAATCTCACATTCCATTTTTCATGAAAAAAAAAAAAAACGCAGATACTTGTACTCCATTTGGGGTAAAGACTCTCCAAACTGGAGATGGCCACCTTTTTACCAGTCAAGCACCATGGTTTCTGACTCAGAGGTGCTGTTTATTTCCCTGCCATGTCACACTCAGCAGCAAACCGTCCCACTGCATGCTGAAAGTCCATGTCCTATGAAGCCAAAAAAACAACGTTATCTGCCAATGGCAGAGACAGTCCTAGCCTGCACCTAAAATTCTGGCAGTAAAATTATTATATTTTTATTAGGTCAGCCTCAAAAATAACACATTTACTAAACAAAATGAATAAATAGATGGATGGATAGACAATGTAAGTAAGTAAGGGAAGTAGGATGGCTTGTTCAACCATATAAGGAGAAGCACTTTAGCAACGAGACCAGCAGCGTGTAAGTACATTTAGACTTGTTTTCAGTTGTTTGTGTGTAGTGCTAGAAATATTACTCACTGTTTCCTTGGTTACTGTAAGAGCTTGTGTGTGGATCACGGTCGGTTTTGCACCCCTCGCCTCAGTTTCTGTTGTTGTATTGTGGGAACTCTTGAGGCATGTCAAGCTGAATTCTATCAGCAAGCGCTCAGGGGTGTATATAAGCAGCTAGTCTCACTGCGTGTGAAGACCGACGAGTGTAAAGACCATTGACTCTACCTGTGCGACTCCACCGAGCAAAGACACTGACAAAGCACCTGAGTACTTTATTTATTTATTTTACTTAATCTTGGCACTTATTATTGTTTTCATTGCACTTTTATTATGTGTTAACTAATTCCTGTTGTTACTAACACTCGCAAAGCACGGGAGGTAAGCTGCAGGCATAATTATCACAACCTTCGTTCAATACATGCATCTGCTATTTCACGACTCTCTCCGTGGGCCTCTGAAATTGTCAATCTGCTGTTCACAAGGCAGATTTTATTACCTCCATAGCTACACATTCTGACTATAATCTCATGGCTCTAACTGAGACCTGGTTGAGACCGGAGGACACTGCTACACATGCTACTCTTTCTGCTAATTTCTCTTTCTCCCACACTCCTCGTCAGACAGGGAGAGGGGGTGGAACTGGACTACTGATTTCCAAAGAATGGAAATTTACTCAAAGATAGTCACTGGCAAAGATCAGCTCCTTTGAATTCCATGCAGCCACCATTATCCACTCCTTCTACATAAATGTGGTTGTCATCTACCGCCCACCAGGTACATTAGGTCACTTCTTAGATGAACTGGATGTTCTTCTCTCATCTTTTTCTGTTTATGACACTCCCTTGTTGGTGCTAGGTGACTTCAACATCCACATTGAAAAACCTCAAGCTACTGACTTCCAGACTCTGCTTGCCTCTTTTGACCTCAAAAGAGCACCTACTTCTGCTACTGATCTTATTTACACGCGACATTGCTTCACTGATTAAACACTAGTAACTCCACTACACACATCGGAATATTTCCTTTTGTCTCTCAACATCCACAGGACTCCTGAGCCACCATACACTCCAAAACAAGTTGCCTTTCGCAGAAACCTACGATCTCTCTCACCCAATAGACTATCCAGCATTGTTTCAGACACACTTCCTCCATCTTACAAATTCTCTGCACTTGATTTCTGACTATCTGCTGCTTCTGATGCCATGTGAAAACTTCAGATTTTAGTGGCTTGTTTTTCTAGGGGTATGATTCACGCTTTTGGTGCGAGAGGTCCTGGGTTCAAAATTATGGCTTTTATAAAAAGGTGTTTCAAAGCATTCCAGTTTGTCAGCAGATAGTGTCACCACATAAAAAATTTCTTGCAAAGTGGCTTGCTGGTCTTGGAGTATGATTCTCGTTCATGCCATGACAAATCCCAGGTTCAAATTTCGGTTGAGCCCCTACAGTTGTCTGCTGTTTTGTAAGGGCGTTGTGGCTTTGCCAGTTTGTCGGCAGATAGTGTCACCATGTAAAGTTGCTGTTTTGCAGTGGCTCGGTGGTCTAGGGGTATGATTCTCGCTTAGGGTGCCCTTGATTTGTTAGAGAAAAATTTCTGACTATCTGATACTTCTGACGCCATGTAAAATGTGAACACTTTAGTGGCTCGTTGGTCTAGGGCAGGGGTGTCCAAACTCGGTCCTCGAGGGCCGGTGTCCGGCATATTTTAGTTTCAACACCAATTAAACACACCTAAACCAGCTAATCAAGCTCTTCTAAATATACTAGAAAGCTCCATGGAGTTGAAGTGTGTTGAAGGAAGGTGGAGCTAAACTATGCAGGACACCGGCCCTCCAGGACTGAGTTTGGACACCCCCGGGTATGATTCTAGTTTCGTGTGCGAGAGGTCCGGGGTTTTAAATCCCAGACAAGCCCTTGCAGGTGTCCAGCGTTTTACAGGGCATTATGTCTTTCATAAAAACGTCTTTCGAAGAATTCCAGTTTGTCAGCAGGGGTCCGTTCTTCGTAAGTGGATTACTCAGTTAGCTGTATTTAGATATTGACGATTTAACACGATCCAGGATCGTTTCGTTCTTCAAAGTTGATCTAAGAGTTGTTGTCATAGCAACAGTTCTGCTAGGTCAAACCTGATCGGAAGCAGGTTAAATTCATATAAATAGGATTAGATCGGCTCAGTTCAAGCAAAGATAATACAGAAAGTAAGTACCGAATTCTAATATTTTCTTACAGTAGTAGTTATATATACTTGGGAAAATGGTAAATATTTTTAATCCTTAAAGACAGAGACAACCGCCCGCGGCTAAAAATCACTATTGTTATTTAATGTTCAATAACTTTTGATCCGCACATGCAATCTTTACCATTTAAAAACTGGCATGAAGCAGGGATTCTAAGCTTTACGGTGATGTAAAGCAAGTCCTTTGGACTTACGGAAGCTCCATGGTAAGTGTGGATACGTCATCAAATTTTGACAACACTGATTTGTCAAAAGGGTTTGACTCGGTTTGTGTCTCTTGGCAAATCGGACGTGGTTGCTAACGCGTTGTCCCTCCTCCATGCAAAGATTGGTTCAAACTGTTCTCTACTCAACCAATAAACATAGACTTTTGTCTTGCAAAGCACCAATCAACTATTTGAACAGTGACATTATAGGGTATATGCACGAACAAAAAACAAATAACAACAGAAAAAAAAACGATTTGCATAATATAATTTTCATATAAGAGAAATCAATGTTGATAGAACTGACAAAAACTGACAGAAATGACAGAACAAAGGTACAGCAAAGACGAGGTACTGGAGTTGCTGTTCTCAAATGACTCTCATGACAGTGATCCAGCAGTGTCAGATTCTGAATCTGGCGCGGACACCTGGTGCAGTGAGGAGAATTATTGCCAGGGGATCGATCCATTCGAGGACAACATGTGAGTAATATCGTTGTGTACAATGTGTGTGATATGTGTATATAGGTGTAATAGTATAGTATGCTTTTCTGTGGCTCAAATGGTAGTGCGATGCGCTATAAGTCACAGGTGTTTAGTTTCGAATCTCATGTAAAGCACTAATTCTGAAAATTATTATTTTTTTGTGTGTGTATGTTTTTTTGTTGTTGTTGATGACAAAAACATCTCCCAAAACGTGGAAATAAATATTATACATGAATATATACTACAGCAGAATTAGAATAGGCTTTATGTTGAAAACACATAACACACATTTGTCTAGTCATGATTTTCTGATACAAAAGACAGACATTTATATATTTTATAATGACAAAATATCTACTTTCCTAAAAATACTTGATCTCCTGCTATGTACCTGTGTGTTATACTCCCCTGTGGCGTTTTGTGTGTGTTGTATGTGTAGTGAGGGGGGAAAAACTATAACAATGAAATTAGTTCTTGTTTTATGTTTTATTTATTATTCACATGTATATTCACAATCTTCATTTTTTTATTTTAGTCAGGAGGATGAGAGACAAAATGCACTACCCAGTGGCAGCAGGATTTCTGAGGCTGAAGGGGATGCCCAGATGGGCCAAAGTATCCAGGTGAGGCCCACACCATATTCGTCTTCCAGACCATCTCCTCTGAAAGAGACAGGACGAGAAGCAGAAAGGGAACCAGTATACGGTAGAGGGAGAGAACGAGACCGAGAAAGAGGAAGAATGAGAGGGAGAGGAAGAGAAGGAGAGAGATGGAGAGGAAGAGGGAGAGGAAGAGAAGGAGAAAGAGGAATAGAAAGAGAAAGAGGAAGAGAAAGATGGAGAGGAAGAGGGAGAGGAAGAGGAAGAGGGGAAAGAAGAGAAAGTGGAGTTGAAAGGCAACTTGCAAACATGCATGTTTTAGGAGACCATGGGTCTGGATGGAATGGACCCGAGGTGGCAGACACTGCGCATCAGCTTCCACACTTTTTTATGAAGGTATTTTTGGTGCAAAACTCCCAAGCAGCTGTAAAAGTGTCATTTGTAGTTGTAAAAAATAGCCACACATGCGTATCAGTAAATTTGTACTCGCAGAGCAAATTTGCAAATGTGTAGGTATTTTTTGTCTCCAACAAACACAACGCAACATTTACACCTGCACAAATTCTTCAGTACAGGTGCACAAATCCCATCGGACGAATCACAAATGCAGAAACTCATCCGCTCATGTTCTTTGCTACTATTGTTGCAGTGAATATGGTGCAAAACACATTCACACACCTGCATCCAGAAATGTGAAGTCACAGACAAAACTTGCACATCTGTAGATTAGAATGTGTATCCGCACAAAGAGAGCTGAACGTGTGTAGAATGTTTGATTATTTTTTTTCTAAGCACGAACAGAAATATGTTCCTGCAACTGCTCAAATCTGCCGCTACGAGTCTCAAGCGCTGTTTTTCACTTGCAAATCTACATTTCGCTCTCTCGCTCTTCTGCACCAAAAATCACTGTGACATTTGGTGCAAAAGTTACTTGTGTATCTGCCAACCAAAACGTGGGCTCTCAGAGAAATTCAGCCAATAGGGGATGGGGCGTGACGTCACCGCTCTAGCGCTGCGGAGGCTGAACGTCGAAACCGAAACCCCCTTTGCGAGATTCGCTGCATCTATACCTGATTTGCGTTCAAAAATGCCTGCTTAATTATTTCATAGTAGGAGCAAACATGCCTTAAGAAAATGAGTAGGTTTGAAACTTTAGTAACCATAAAAAGTACGCCAGGTGGATGCCTTTCTACTCCAGGAAGCCGCAGCCTACGGCCTGAAGGAGGAAGAGGACGCGGTCAGTTTGAAATGTGAGTATTAAACCAAAGACAGTTCTTTGTGTTAAACTCGTATTTGTTGAGCTACTGTACAGTGCACTGTAGAATTGCTGAGGGTGTAAAGAGGCTTTAAATTATAGTCTATTTTATTTCGCTGTAAATGTTGACTGTGTAATGTTACGGTCTCCAATCAGCACATATAAAGTAACGTTTCAAAGGTAAAAAAGATTATTATCAAATGTCTGACAGAAAAATGTGAAGTATTGCAGATCACAAGACTAAACAGACATCTGAGTGAGTGATGTATTTGTGCTGATGTAGAATCTGCTGTCAATTGACTGTTGCCAATACTGTTTAAATTAGATACATGTATTCTTACTAAAAGAGAATAAAGGGTCATTTGTTTAATCTGTGCATCAGTATATAGTTGATCACTTGAGTAAGGTTTGTGTTACATCAGCAACTACACCAACATGTTATATTTGAGCATGTGAATCAGAGGTGATTTATTCTAGTCTTTATGTTACAGGGAGGCTTTTATTGAGTACAGTACAGAAACTACAAAAACATATTTTACATTTGCTATTTATTATTAGTTATTGTATTTTCAAACAGTGTTTACATTAGCTTTCTGATTACTGGTGTGTGTGTGCTTTTTCTGCAGAGCTGAATCGATGACATCCTGAAAGCAGCAATACAATTAAGGTACGTTTTCATTGCTTCATTTTTTAAAACCACTTATAGTTGTACAGTTTGATGTTAGTTTAAATATAACTATGTTAGTGATCAGTATTCATACCTAGGATAACAATTCTTGTTTTACGAAAGGTAACTTGGCTTGCTTGCCCTAATGTCATGTTTGCTATTTAGTCTTATCACATAATATGATTAAACTATTTAATTCATAAGCTATATTTATTTTAGAAAAATGGCAGACCAGGGTGCATCCAATGCATTGAGGTGAAGTTGGTTTTATAGTTGCACATTCTGACTTTCTTCTTAATAATTTAATTTCAGAAAAAGATTTTCAAATTCTATATAAGGAAATCATATTAGCAGCCAATGACTATCAAAATACAGCACTGTCCACAGTCAAATAAATATTAGTTCTAATGTTGTTTTGAAGTCATTCAGACCAAATATTTAAAGTACCATGGTAAACAATATAGGGACCATTAAAATGTTTAAATGCAAATATAAACCATCTTTACCTTAATAACTAACGCTACCATGTTTTATGATTCATTTTACACTCCAAAAAATGTATGTTTACTTAACATTTTTACCAAGAATGTATTGCTAGTAATGATAAATGTGGACAATTAACTAAGTAAATCTACTAGTAGTCACTAGACAATGCATCTTATTTTCTTACATTTCTGTTAAACAATGGAAATGCATACAATATTGAAAGTATTATCATTATTTATTGAAAACAAACAGAAACATAATTATATTATTAAAAGAATGAATATGAGTAATCATGACAAATAAATACAAGTCACCAACACATGAAACCAAGCTTTATTCTAACAGTGATGTATTACAGACAGAAGCCCATGTTTTGCTGTATCTCCACACAGCTGGGCCAGTTCTTCAGATGATCAGAGGGACTTCGCCATCATCACATCCCTCATTGCTGCAGTCAGACTGAAACAGGACGGTGATGCATGGCAGTCCATGCCCGAGATACGGATGATGAAGAGACCACAGCAACATCTGGTCCAGATGAGGACACAAGGGCCTGTGGACTGATGCAGGGTCTCGTTCAGTTCACTACAGGAGAACAGGAGTGGCTAAACTCAGTCTAGAACTGCTGCTGTCTTGCAGAGTTTAGTTGAAGTTGACTCTAAACTCTGCAGGACACCAGCTGTCCAGAACTGAGTTTGGGCACCCCTGCATTACAGCATTTCCAAGATGCTGCTGCATGTGGACTTCTTTACCCTCACCACACACACCAATCTGCAGATATTTCAGATCAAACAAAACATAAAAAACATTCAAAAAACAATGTCATGTGTCATTTGATTTCTGTAATGCTAGTAATAAAATTATCCTACCTCTTATTTTGGATTCTTTTTTCCTCAAATGTGTTAGTTCCCTTGTCTACAGGTCCAGCTCTATCACAACAGCTCTGCAGAAAAAGCACACACACAACATTAATCAGAAAGCTGATGTAATCACTGTTTGAAAATACAATAACTAATAATAATAATAAATAGCAAATGTAAAATATGTTTTTTTATTTTCTGTACTGTACTCAATAAAAGCCTCCCTGTAACATAGAGACTAGAATAAATCACCTCTGTCATCAGGCCCGGCTCCAGCTTGGAACTTTAGGGTGGGCAAGTTAAAAAAATAAACAAATTATATATATATATATATATATATATATATATATATATATATATATATATATATATATATATATATATATAATAAAATAATTTATAGTATTCTATGTCATTCTGATAAAGCAAACTAACTTTTATTTTAAAACTAGTATTTGTACTGCAGATTCTATTTATGTCACTGTTTGCTTGCTTACGTGATGTTTCCAAGTTTTGGAAGAAAACTCCAGAAAAACATGTTGCTCTCCATGAACTATATGGGTGATTCTGTAGTTGCAGGTACATTTAGTGACCAAAGCCATCCTTTTTTCAGCTTTTAAGCTTTTTTTAAAAATTGTTACATTACATTGTTACATTTTTGATTATTTATTTATAAAATGTGTTCATCATTTTCAAAGATCACATTACCAAAAATCACGATTTCTTGATTTACAAATTAGCCAGTACATATTTCCATCATGCAAAAATAATTTATTTTGCTTTTTTTTAAAGAAAAATTCACCAATATTTTAATTTTAAATGTTTAAACTGTAAACTGTCAATGCTATTATTATCACAATTACAAAAGGAAAACTGAATATTTCATTAATCACATATTTTACAAATAAAAAAATATTTTAAGCCTGATTTCATTAGTATCATGTGATCTTTGCAGTTAAAGCAAGTAAAAGGTTTTGCTAAAAAGTTGTAAAACTAAATAACTGTCAATTCAGTTTAAATTTAGTAACTACACATTACGATTTTTTCTTGCTATGATTTATTATTATTTCTAAACATTACTAAAGTCATCCATGACAGAGTTGACAAACAATATAAAACTTTTTATTCCCTAAAACATTTAATCATTTGTACAGCAAAAGCTGAATTATAAAAATTAAATATGTTTTAACTTTAGTGTTGGAATTTACAACCTTAAGATGATACCTTTAAAGAACTTCAACATTCCATACTATTTTCTATAATTTGTCATTTAAAAAAAAATCTTAATGTTGTTATTATTATTTAATGCACCAGAGCCAATATGGACATTAATATTTTTTTATAACTAACAAACAAATTTTTGAATAGCAGATTTTCTTTGCATATTAGCCTATTATTAGTGATAGCTAATACAGTATCATTTATAGCCTATCAAAAAAAATCTAATTTATTTCGCATATAACATGTTTTAATAAACACACACATGGCGTTTCATGTGCTTTATCATGGCGCTCTGTGTGCGTCGACCTGCTCCCTGAAACATCTTGAATTATCAAGATTTATTCTATTCATTGTTGAATTCTGAATTTTTAATATTGTATTGCACTATTGTTGAGCACAGCAGTGAACAGTAACAGTTTAAGATATCTTGTGTATGATTTTGACGTTTTTCCCTTATCAGTTAAAAAGTCCAATAACAGAGAGATCACATATGATAATTTGAGAGATTTAAAGGGGAAAAAAGACAATACGTCAATCGATAGCACGTTACACGGCTTTCGTATCTAATAAATCGAGTCAGTGATATTGAAATGAGTTCAGTTACTAACATCTCCAAATTTACAGATGAGGTACACACAGCAGCGCGCGTCAAGAGAAGAGCGCGCATTTAGAGAGAGCAAAGCGAAAGCAAGATTATGTGTGGATATGTGTCTATATAAAATATTGATGTTTTTGACACAAACTGCAACAAAGTGCTTTGCACTGGTGTTTGAATTGTGTATGTTGCACTTTGCACGAACTTTACTACTGAAACTGCCTGTGATCTGTCCGTTTCTGTGCGTCATTAACAGACTAATTATTTGCTCTTTCCGTGAGAAAAATGCTATAATGTTTAAGCGGGCCCAATACATCTCCTGATTATCTCACAGTGCTGTTTAACTGTTTGTGTTCTTTAAGACTTTCTATTGTATGAAATACGACTGCATGAACTGATATTAAAGGGAGGTGCATTTGGTAATGCGCGTTCAGACGCGTGATGCGCACAGAAATCTGCGCTCTATGCTGAATTACTTTCTCTTTCATCTTTTGCAGCCTGAATTGATTAAAATTATTAAAACTAATATTTTTTATATTTAAATCTAATATTTAATTTAATATTTAATTAATATTTATCTAATATTTTAATCAAGATTGTAAATGAGTCTGGCTTGCCAAAACGTGTTTTTTTGAAGCTCACGCGGTCACAAATCCTCAAGTGATCAACTATACTGATGCACAGATTAAACAAATGACCCTTTATTCTCTTTTAGTAAGAATACATGTATCTAATTTAAACAGTATTGGCAACAGTCAATTGACAGCAGATTCTACATCAGCACAAATACATCACTCACTCAGATGTCTGTTTAGTCTTGTGATCTGCAATACTTCACATTTTTCTGTCAGACATTTGATAATAATCTTTTTTACCTTTGAAACGTTACTTTATATGTGCTGATTGGAGACCGTAACATTACACAGTCAACATTTACAGCGAAATAAAATAGACTATAATTTAAAGCCTCTTTACACCCTCAGCAATTCTACAGTGCACTGTACAGTAGCTCAACAAATACGAGTTTAACACAAAGAACTGTCTTTGGTTTAATACTCACATTTCAAACTGACCGCGTCCTCTTCCTCCTTCAGGCCGTAGGCTGCGGCTTCCTGGAGTAGAAAGGCATCCACCTGGCGTACTTTTTATGGTTACTAAAGTTTCAAACCTACTCATTTTCTTAAGGCATGTTTGCTCCTACTATGAAATAATTAAGCAGGCATTTTTGAACGCAAATCAGGTATAGATGCAGCGAATCTCGCAAAGGGGGTTTCGGTTTCGACGTTCAGCCTCCGCAGCGCTAGAGCGGTGACGTCACGCCCCATCCCCTATTGGCTGAATTTCTCTGAGAGCCCACGTTTTGGTTGGCAGATACACAAGTAACTTTTGCACCAAATGTCACAGTGATTTTTGGTGCAGAAGAGCGAGAGAGCGAAATGTAGATTTGCAAGTGAAAAACAGCGCTTGAGACTCGTAGCGGCAGATTTGAGCAGTTGCAGGAACATATTTCTGTTCGTGCTTAGAAAAAAAATAATCAAACATTCTACACACGTTCAGCTCTCTTTGTGCGGATACACATTCTAATCTACAGATGTGCAAGTTTTGTCTGTGACTTCACATTTCTGGATGCAGGTGTGTGAATGTGTTTTGCACCATATTCACTGCAACAATAGTAGCAAAGAACATGAGCGGATGAGTTTCTGCATTTGTGATTCGTCCGATGGGATTTGTGCACCTGTACTGAAGAATTTGTGCAGGTGTAAATGTTGCGTTGTGTTTGTTGGAGACAAAAAATACCTACACATTTGCAAATTTGCTCTGCGAGTACAAATTTACTGATACACATGTGTGGCTATTTTTTACAACTACAAATGACACTTTTACAGCTGCTTGGGAGTTTTGCACCAAAAATACCTTCATACTTTTTCCCGAAAAGAGCTCCTGGATTGCAAGGCTTTGTGGGTATTGCATACTCACCTGCTCAAATTTTCAGCCATTTTTTTAGTGATGCAGCAGTAAAAAAAATTATGTTGTAACACCAATAAAAATGCTGAAAAGGAGCAGTCCAAAGGAAAAAAGTTCATCTGGGAGGAGCTGAAATCAGATGAATTTCTGAAATATATAGGTCTTTTGATTTTCATGGCACTGCTGAAACTGCCAAAAGTATGAGATTATTGGAGGAGGGACTCACACCTTAGCATACACTTCCCTGCTTCTGTCATGACCAGAGACAGATTCATGGCAATAAGCAGAACTGTCCACATGAGCAACCCTGAGGACGACATCCAAAATGACAGAAAAAAAGGCACTCCAGAATATGACCCCCTCCATCGTCTCAAGCCTCTTTACATTACCACGAAAGAGGCCTGCAAGTCAATGTGGCAGCCAAAGAAGCATGTTTCCATCGATGAAAGAATGGTGGCCCCGAAAGCCAAAATTGCACTTAGGCAATACATGAAGGCAAAGCCAATAAAGTGGGGTGTGAAGCTGTTTGTGCTTGCTGACTCCAGCAATGGGTACACCAGTGACTTCAACATCTACACTGGGAAAAGTCGCTTCATGTCAGGTCAGGGTCTCTCGTATGATGTAGTAAGCAGCCTCATGGATCCATCATACTTAGGGAGGGGCTATCACTTGTATGTGGACAACTTCTATACAAGCCCAAAACTTTTTAGGGACTTGTATGCTAGTGGTTTTGTTGCCTGTGGTACTTTCAGGGACTCCCGCAGAAATGTTCCCCAAACAAAGCAGAATGCACTCACCTCCTAGAGCCCCAGGGGTTCAATTCGATGGATCAGACAGCAAGAACTATTGTTTGTAAAATGGATGGACACAAGGGAGGTGTCAGTGTGTTCAACCATCCACAATGCCTTTGATGGTGACACTGTGAGCAGGAATGTGCTCAACAAAGACACTGGGAGATGGCAGGCAAAGAACATCGCGTCACCTCGCTGTGTGGTGGACTACAACAAATATATGGGGGGGGGGGGGTGGATCTGTCTGACCAGCTCCTCCAGTATTATTCTGTGCACAAGAGGTCCAACAGGTGGTACAGGACACTACTGTACCACTTCATAGATATAGCAACTACCAACAGCTATATACTTCACAAGGAGATGTGCCTGTCATCTCAGAGTGTGCCAATGTCTCATGGGCAGTTCATGGAGGAGTTGTCCAGAGAGCTCTGTGGAGTCCCAAAACACAGTGATGTGGCGTTAAGAGGAGCACAGTGCCTACCTGTATCTCTGGCATTTCTAAATTAAGATGAAGACAGCCAGTGGGAGAGAAGCAGGACACCAGACTCTGCAACAAAGGGGCGGCAGTACTGCAAGCTGTGCAAGAAGCGCACAATCTGGAAGTGTGCACGGTGCAATGTAGCACTATGTCTTGTTGCCCACAGAAACTGTTTTGGTCAGTGGCATAGCAGCAGAGGGTCACAAGCCTGTACATAAAGCCTCAGGAAGCTCCAATTTGGTTATATAAATATGTATATAGTTTTTACAGACAATTTGCTTGTTCTTTTTCTTTGAGTCTTATTTTTTATTTGTTTATTGTTGAAGACATTGTTGTTTATAATAAACTGAAAATAAATTTCTTATAAAGAGGTCAAACTTGCTTCAGTGTTTTGGTATTATGTAATATTTTTTATGTATATGTCATTACTTGAACCTTTGAGCATCTACTTTGTCAGTAAATAGAATGAGAATAGAAATAGAATTTATCAATGAAAAACGACTTAGAATAACATTCAAATAAATTGATATAACTTGCTCAAGAAGTGTTGGATGTAGACAAAATCTATGTTGTAAGCTTAAAAAATCCTAATATACCTTTCTAAAGAAAAAAAAATCAAACTTCAAGAGGGTTTGTTTGCAATAACTAAAAAATAAAAAAGTTTTTTTTTATTCCACAAAAATGTATTTATGTTTGTCTGTTTAAAAAAAAAAAAAAAAAAGAAAATTATAAATGTAAAAGATATTGACTCAAACTTCATGTTCTCCTGTTTAAAATGATATATGACACTTGATGCTGACTGCTAAAATAACTAAGAAAAAACACAAAAAACAGGTCATTTGGGCATCTACTTTGTCAATAAATAGAATGCACCAGTTTTTCAATGAAAAACGCCTTAGAATAACATTCAAATAAATTGCTATAACTTGCTCAGGAAGTGTTGTATATAGACAGAATTTATGTTGGAAGCTTAAAACATCCTAATATAACTTTCTAAAGAAAAACAAACAAACTTCAGGAGGGTTTGTTTGCAATAACTGATTTTTTTAATTAATATTATTTAGTTTTTCATAAATTAAAAAAAAAAATCCATTATGTTTGTCTGTTTTTAGAAAAACAAAAAAAACAAATAAGAAACTAAAATGATACAGATTGAAATTTCAGGTTCTCCTGTTTAAAATGATATATGACATTTGAGGCTGACTAGTAAAATTAGAATAAGACAGCTAAAATAAAAATAAAAAAAAACAGGCCAGTGACATGCCCACAAAATACCTCTAGGTCTTTAAGGGTTAAAGAGCGAGTTGGTTTGTAGCAAGAGAGAAGGTTGGTTAGATAAACAGGAGCTAGATTATTTAGAGCTTTATAGGTGAGAAGTAATATTTTAAATTCAATACGAAACTTAACAGGCAGCCAGTGTAAGGAGGATAAAATTGGGGTGATATAATCATATTTTCTAGACCTGGTCAGAACTCTGGCTGCTGCATTTTGAACTAATTGAAGTTTGTTAATAGAGGATGCTGGGCAGCCAGCAAATAGAGCATTACAGTAATCCAGTCTCGAAGTAAAAGCATGGACTAGCTTTTCTGCATCTGAGATGGATAGCATATTTCGTAATTTAGCGATATTTCTCAGATGAAAGAAGGCAGTTTTTGTGACATGGAATATATGGTTTTTAAAAGTTAGATTGCTGTCTAATATGACACCCAGATCTTTTATAGTAGAGCTAAAACTAACTTTGTATCCCTCTAATTGTAAATTGAGTTGCAAGATCTGCTGTGTGCAAGATTTAGGCCCAATAAGTAATAATTCTGTTTTGTCGGAGTTTAAGAGAAGAAAATTGTTGGTCATCCAGTCTTTAATGTCTTTGATACACTCAGTTAGTTTAGAAAGTTCAGACGTCTCGTCAGGTTTAGTTGAAATATGTAATTGAGTATCATCTGCATAGCAGTGAAAGCTGATCCCATGTCTTCTAATGTCTCCCAGAGTTAGCATGTAAAATGTAAACAGTAAAGGGCCTAAAACTGATCCTTGAGGCACCCCATACTTTACTGGGCTGACTTGTGAAGGCTGTCCATTAATATTCACAAACTGGTAGCGGTCAGTTAAGTATGACTTAAACCATTGTAGAGCCTGTCCCTGGACACCTGTAGACTTTAAGCGATTTATGAGGATATTGTGGTCAATGGTATCAAATGCCGCACTAAGATCGAGTAAAACTAATAGCGAGACGCACCCTCGGTCAGCAGCTAAGAGTAAATCATTGGTTATTTTCACTAAGGCGGTTTCTGTACTGTGGTGAGCCCTGAAACCTGACTGAAACACTTCAAAAATATTGTTCGTCTGCAGAAAAGAGCATAATTGAGTTGAAACAACTTTTTTCTAGTATTTTAGACATAAATGAAAGATTTGAAATAGGCCTATAGTTAGCTAAGTTGTTGGTGTCTAGTTGCGGTTTCTTAATAATAGGCTTAATAACAGCTAGCTTGTAAGAGTTTGGAACATGGCCTATAGATAAAGAAGAGTTGATAATGTTAAGAAGAGGTTCTCCTGAAGCAGGCAGCAGCTCTTTCAGTAATTTTGTTGGAATTGAATCCAGCATACACGTAGCTGGTTTAGAGCTATTTATAATTTTTACTAACTCTTCATGTTCTATGATTTTGAAGCAGTGTAGGTTATTATTATGATTCAATTAAATATTTACAGGATTTGGAGTATAAGCCGGTGCAGAAAGTTTGGCATCTCCTATTTTCTGTCTAAAGCCTTCTATTTTATTACTGAAAAAATTCATGAAGTCATCACTACTAATTTGCGGTGGAGTAGTTTGTTCCAAGGATGACCGATTATTTGCTAATTTAGAGATGTGTTAAATAAAAATCTAGGATTGTTATGATTATTTTCTATCAGTTCGCGCATGTGCTCGAACTAAAAAGATGGCATCCATACTGCTGGTTACTACATCAAGATCATTTGAGTTTGCGGGTGCATTACGAAATAGAGAGAGATCAGGTAAGTTATTTATAAATTCATCTTTAGTTGACGGAACAATAGTTCTACTAGGGCGGAGTATTGGAGCGGGTATGCTGATTTCAGGTAAACACAGCTTATATAGTAAGAGGTAGTGATCTGTAATATCATCACTTTGTGGTATAATGTCTACGTCAATAACCTCGATTCCATAAGACAGAATTAGATCTAATGTATGCTTTAAGTGATGGGTTGGACCCACAACATTTTGCTTTATCCCAAGTGAGTGTATTAAATCCA